TGTGTTCTGAGGAGCTCCCAGGGTGCTTCACAGGGACCAGAGCCTGTGGATGTGGCAGCAGGAGCTCAGCCCTTCCCTGGATCATTGCAGGGTCCTCAGCCCTTGCTGAGGTGGCTCTGGTGCTGCTGGTGTGGTGGTGGCAGCCACAGGCAGTGACCAAGCACAAGGAGTCACTTTTCCATGGGGGAAAATCCTGCCCTAGGCCAGGCTTCCCTGCTGTTCCTGCCTGTGATCTGCTGTTCCCTTCTGCAGCCAAGCCCTGAACCTGCTCTGCAAGGCCCCAGTGCTCAGCACGTGCAGGGCAGCCAGCTCTGCCTTCCAGAGGCTTTGGGTCTCCTTTATCAGGAGTGGGAGGCAGCTTGGGCTCACTCTGGAGTGCTCTGGCAGGGCTGTGATATTAAGCTCAGGATCCCAGCCAGTTTCAAACTCAAGTTTACATTTTGTCTTCCTAAATTGCCTCTGACTCCCACTACCTGTTGCTGCCATTTACTAAACAAAAACAAACATAGAGGCTGGAGAGCAGCTCCTGCTGAGGAGTGGCTGCATTGCAGTGAAAATCCATTCAGAAAGTGAAAATTCCTCAGCCCTGCTCCTCTCCTTGGTGCACAGTCCTTGTCCTGTTTTGCAGATGCTGCCTCTAAGCATGCTACCCAGGCCTTCTTTGACTGCCTGCGAGCAGAGGTGGAGCAGTATGACATTGAAGTGACAGTGGTGAGCCCTGGGTACATCCAGACCAACCTGTCCCTCAACGCTGTCACAGCGGATGGATCTCGTTATGGAGGTGAGATATCCCTCACTGCCCTTCCTAAAGCATCTCCATGTCATTGTAAGGTGTGTTTGCAACACATGGCCTCTGGTGGGGACTCAGGTTAGCCCTGAAGGATCAAAAACCGACTCTGGATGTAGGGTAGGAACAGCAAGCCCCAAAATTGAGCCTTTCCAGACAGCAACTCTTGCCTTCAGGGCCAGCCACGAGGAACAGCTGTCTGTGCTCCCATACCCAGCTGGAGTGAGAGCCAGAGCAAGCAGCCATGTGCAGTCAGAGCATCCTAGGAAGGGTTCTCAGTGGGGTTTACCTGCTGCTGGTGGTGCTGGTGCTCACTCAGCTTTCCCTTGGCAGTTATGGACAAGACCACGGCCGAGGGACAGACGGCGGCCGAGGTGGCTCAGGTGGTTCTCAATGCAGTGGGACAGAAGAAGAAGGAAGTCCTTGTGGCTGGCCTGACTCCCTGCCTGGCTGTCTACCTGAGGAACCTCTGCCCCAGGCTGTTCTTCACCTTAATGGCATCTAGAGCGAAAAAGGAGAGAAAAGCAAAGGGCTCTTAGAGCTCAGCTGCCCTGAGCAGGGAGAGGCTGAGCCCCTGCAGTTGCCTGGGACATCACTGGAGGTGCTCCTGCAGGAAAATCCTTTCTCAAAGCTGTTTACCATTGCATGGAGACTGGGAAGTGGTTTCCCCCACACTGCTGGAAGACAGCACCTAAAGCTCAGCTGGAGAAGGAAGGTGCTTGGACAATGGGGGAGAGCTGAGGCTGCAGGGAGGGCTCAGGGGAACACTGGGGAGGCCCTGGCTGGGACTCCTCACCTCACTGCAGGCATGCTCAGCTTTACTGGCCTGCCACAAATAAACCCCACCTGTTCTGCCCTCACACGAGCAGCCCTTGGCCGTCCCCACCCCGTGAAATACAGTCCTCAGCTGGGAGCTCTTGTGATCAGTGTCTCATTCCCACTCCTTCCACTCTGACCCAGGACACGCTGCTTGCAGTGGGAAACAGCCCCTTCCTGTTAACGTGCCAAGTCAGCTGATAATTAACCTCAATCCAGTGCCACTTTTAAAGAAGTAACTGATGTACAATTTGGGTGTATTTGGCATCATTTTACCTGTCTGAATCGTGCCCTACTGATGGACTGGGACAGTTCATTCTGCAGTGACAGCTCTGTGGATCCCAGCCCGAGGAACGCAGGGAAGCACTGAACAGGCAGAACAGCACAGCAAGGCAGCTGCTGCCAGGACACACTGCACAGGTGACAGCAGCACACCTGGGCCACCTGCAGCTCAGAGCAGGTGTCATCCTGTGGATGCCAGGCATTCTCTGGCAGCAGAGAAGAATCCAGGTGTGTAAAGTGCAGAGTGTAGCAGACAGAGCCTTTGTTCTCATCTGCTCTAAAGCAATCACAGATGGTAATTAGGATCACATCCAGTGGGGAAGGATACCCCTTCTGTTCAGGTATCACTTCAGGGAGCCTGACAGCCTGAAGGGTGCTGTGTTCCATTCCTCACCCCTTCTCCTCATGTGAGGGATATCAGCACCACTAGGAAAAAGGAATTGCTGCACAGATAGAGGACAGAAATAATCTCAAAATTGAAATAAACTCGACTAATAGGAATCAAGGTTCAGACCTCTCCTGCCCCTCCATGCACTTGCCAGCATTTTCCATGTGTCCTGCCTCACATGTCCTGCCTGGGAGTGCACATCTGATGATGAATAAATGACATTGCTATGAAATGAATCCCTTGGTCTACTCCAGCTCCTCACAGCACACAAGAGGAAGGGAAAGCAGGAGGGGTTTGTTTTTCCTTGCATCCCTGCAAGGTGCTATTGTACCAGTAGTAGCTGCAGAACAGCATGGTTTATCCCAGCCCTCTTTATGGGCCCTGTTAGCTTACACAGTGTGAATCCACACAGAGGATTAGTCACACAAACTCTGATATGGGTGTGCAGGCTCAGCAGGACCTTCTGCTTCCAAAAGCCTCTTCTTAACCACTACAGATCTATGAATGATCTCTGAGATCCAGGATGTGTTTAATGATGACAATGCTGCTGCTCTCTCAGGACATCCATCCTCTGCCACCTGCCCGGTGTCACAGAAAGGCCTGGGCTTGGACTGACAAGGTGAAGCTTTCAGGTGCAGACACCTTTTTTCCTGTTAAAGAGAGGAAAGCAAGGCATTACCTTCTCTGCTCTCTACAAGGGGAGTGCTGCTGTTGGTTGTGCTTTTCCTTTTGTGTTTCCCATGCTCAGCTGCTCAGTTCCTTGGTGAAATGCAGAGCTCCTGCCAGGCTTGTTCAGCTGCTCCATGTTCTGGTGTTTCAGGTCGTGGCTCCTCAGGAAGGACCAAGGGGCTGCTTTGCATTTCTGTGTTCCCATCCAGGGCACTGAGGGTGAAACACATCAGCCCTGAGGGGAAAAGGATGTGTGGGGAGTTCCTGCAGCTCCTGTGGGAGCTACAGCTCCGAGGCACAGGTTGCTGAGAGTGCAGCCATTCCCTTTGGAGGTGAATTCCCCCTCTGTGATGAGGGCAATGCTGCACATTCCAGAGCACTGGGGGCAGCAAAGTGTGGGGGATTCTGAAGGGAGGTTTGTCCCCAGCCACTGATGATTCCACTGAGCTGCTGGCACTGGGGACAGCAGATACAGCACCACTCCATATGGATGGGAATTTTTGGAAGTTGTTTTACCATTTCACCATATACTAAAATACCTCTCAAGACCCCTCTCATTCTCCCAGGTCACCTTGCACAGTTACAGCCCTGACTGACAACCAGAATGTTAAAAAGCACTTTAGCTACATTATCACTGAAATTCCTTGGAAAACAAATTCCCCTGCCCCTCCACCTCAGAATGGAGTGACAGCTGTGTTTTTCAATCAGACCAACCCATTGTGACAGCTAAGCTGACTTTTCACCTTTCCTCCTGCAATAAGAGACCCCAGGAAAGTTGCTAATTTTTAACTCAAGTCTCTGATGCCAGCCATGCATTCAGGGAACCTGCCATAGTGATCATTCCAGACCAGGGGAAACGTAACACAAAAAAGTACCAGGAGCTCAGAGGTTTGGTCAGGAAAGGAACTTACAGCTCTGAGAATTCTGCATTGTGTAAAAAAAGATCAGGAACACGTCTGGTGTGGCCTGCACAAAGGTATTTCAGGGCCTTCTGCAGCAATAAGCAGTAGTAGCTGTGGCAGATGTGCCACTGGCTTCAAATCCATCCAGCAGGGCTCTGGAAACACGTCAGGGTGGGAGGGCAGCCTGCCCAGCCTGGCCTGACCACTGGGAGATGAAGTAGCTGCATTTCTCTGCCTCCTCTCTGCCAAGACAACTGTACATTGTTGCTATAAATAGATGCTCTGGATCCCAGCTTCTTTTAACCTTGGAGGGAAAGCTCAGCACTGTACAAAGAGCTGCTGCCACCCAGAAATGTCCCAGTGCCACTGGAGCCCCCTCAGGTACAGCTGCCCTTGCTGGAGCTCAGGGCTGGGACACCCAGCAATCCCAGTTTGCCCAGCACACACACAGTGGGCTGTGTGTCCTGCCCACAGGAAAACTGCCCCAGCAGAGAAGAACAGGTCAGAACCGTGGTCAGAACAGCCCAAGGAGGTGAGGGCAGGGAGACCTTGGTGCCTGCTGTGGCAGAATTTGGGCCTGACCCCTGTCAAGGTCGGTGTTTCAGCTGTGAAGGTCAGGCTGCAGCTCCCACTGGAGCAGGGAGCACACAGTGCACGGGCAGCTCTCTCTGCAGGCCTTTGCTCTCCTATTTCAAATGTAACACCTGGAGCTGTGCCAGGCTGGCCCTGCCAACACCAGCCACACCTATTCCCCATGTGGTGGGAGGAGATTACAGACAGCAAGCCCCTATCTTTTAAAAATAACTGGCAGATGTCACAGAAGAGTAAATGCTTCCCACTCTAAGATCAAGATTTTGAGTTTAGAGCTAAAAACTGGAATAATGCACAGGACTGAATTGTAAAATTTCAGGTAACAGTTAGAAGGTGCACTCATGAGGATGCCTGGCAGCAAGAGCAAGCAGCTCCTGTGTTCAGGCAAAAGCAGTGGAATTGTGTGGTCAGGGCACAGCACAAAGGTAGGACAGGTAGACTCCCACCTTGGCAGCCCCCAAGGCATTTCAGAGATGTGTCCACCTTTGGAAGAACTGAGCAGAATGTGCTTGTACCTGGACACTTCAAGTGATATCACTTTGATAACAGTGACAAGAGAGCAAGAGCATTTGAAATTCTCATCCTTTAATGGTCAATGATAACTTCTGGCTGGTTCTGTGTAATACAATTAAACAATATACTTAAATGTTTCCCAAAAAAGAAAAAAAAAAAAAGAAAAAAAAAAAAGAAAGCAGCTCTCACACCCCTTCTTTCTATTGCTTTCTTTCACTGACATTCTGCTGCTGGATTGGACTCCCCTGGCCTAACATACGGATCTCAAGTCACCACACATCCACATCTCAAGTGTAACGAAGAGCTGAAAAACCTTGGTGCACCAGTGATACGTTATCTGAAAAATAACAGCTCTATCAAACCAAATCCTTCCCAGTCTCCACCGCTTCTCAAAGAGGAAAAACAAAATGTTACTGTGGGAGTCTTAATACACTTGTCTTTGTGGGTTTCTCTCTTCCCTGCTGAAGTCATACAGCATAGAGTTCATAGATCTTCTTTACACAGTACACCAGGGCAGCGAGTGCTATCGTGTTGTGCAGTCTCTTTCTGTGCAGGTCGTCCTTCCTCACCAGCACCACGGGAGTGGACGAGGTGAGCGTATGCAGGGGCAGGCGCGAGAGTTTATAGGCATCGTACTCCACCTGGTACTTGCAGCAGGGATCGAACTGCCACGAGATCCCGTACAGGGTGCAGCAAGCCACGCTCAGCACTCCGGCAGGCAGGGAGATGTAGTGAGAATAATCTACGGGCAGTGCCAGGGGCGTGAAGAGGCAGGTGGTGCCCGCCAGCACGGCCGTTTTGTGCAGGCAGTTCCCCACGGTGATCCAGCGCGCCGTCTCGTCCCCGATGCGCGTGGGCTCGATCACGATGTACTTGTACTGCGCCTCCAGCGCCTGCTCCAGCTCGTACTCAAACTGGTCCTGAGCGTTCTCCCCATTGTAGATCTCATGCACAATGTAACAGTCCGTGGAGGACAAGGTCACCCTGGTGAGGGGAAATGAAGAATTAAAACTACAGGGCGGAAGGCCGGGCCGTTCACCCACCCGGGTGGGAGAGCGGGACAGGAGTGCCCCGAGTGAGGGCAGCCCCTCAAGGTCACTGCCTGTTTCACAACCAGCAGCTTCTCAACTCAAGCTTCATTTTACATCAGCTGATTATCCTGCTATACAATAATTCATCCCAAAAGAAGGCAATGTATTTTTCTTACCTTTTCCTAACTTGGATGATTTTAGAACAATTTGAGAAATAGGGTCTTGTAGCATTCCTGAAATGGTTTCTCACATTGATACCCAAGTAGAAGTGTCACTCAGACCTTAGTGACCACAACACATCACTGAACAAAGCCCACAGACTTCAGGAGCTTTCACAGAAACCAAGACAAGCAGCTCATTGCTCAGAAGGACAAGCTGCTCTGGGAGGTTTGGAGAGAGGAAGCATCTCCACATGAATACATTTGCCTTCTGATGCAATTTTGCTATTTAGTCCTCCATATTAACACAGCCTGGTAAATCCATGGTAAATCCAACAAGGATGGCCAAGGAACACTGCTCAAAGGGAAGGTGAAGAAGGCAGCAGAGCATTCAGTTTGTGGCTTCCCTCCCTCTCCTGAAGTGGGATGCAGCAAAGCAAGACATGAATAAGATTTTAACCCAGGCACTGCTTAAACAGTGAAGAAAGAACTGATAACTTCACCTGGGAGCACATTTCCTACTCAGGGGATTCAGGGAAATTGTACTGGAGCAGCTTTCAGCTACTTAATGTGACATCAATTCCCACCTTCCCTCCACCCCCTTCACCACATCACCTTCTATCTGCAGCTACATTCATGTACAGACTGCTAAGAAATAGGATTATAACTGTTCACCTGCTCTGAGAAAGGGTAAAAACCTGTCCATCAGAACCAGGCAAAATCCTCCCTTCTATGCAGAAATGAATATTTCTGGCATACTTGTGCTTAACCAGAGCAAAACTGAGCACGTGGCCTAGGAAAGATAAAAATATCTAGCAGATTCCTTTAGCAGAAGGAGAACAAATCACACATCTGACCTAATCACAGCAGACAAAACAGCCTCATCCCAACAGCATTCAGACCCCCATGATAGCAGGAGGAACAGTGCTGATGTGGAGAACAGAACGAGCACTTTTTGCTCCATTAGTGCAGTGGTACTTATGTGCATGCACTGGAAAATAAGGGAGAAAAATACACATTCACAAGCTGCTGTTGCCAAACATTATCCTTAATGTGCAGCTCCACTCAGGCTGCACAGGGGATTGAGCAGTGGCCAGCTGTAATCAAGAATATTGTTAAATTACAAGCTGTTGCAGACGTGGCTGGGTTTGTACAGCAGCAAACATCAACCAGCAGGACCTGAGAGGCACCACCCTCTCCCAAAGCAGTGTCATGAGCAGTTTCATTAAAAGTCCAGCTGGAATTTATATAACCTACAAGGAAAACTCAACTTACAATGCAGTTATTGAGTTCTTGCAGAGCATTTCCCCCTTGGCCTGTTCATGGGTAGAAAGAAAAATAAAAGTCCAGCTTAATTCCGTGCATGCTGGGGGCTTCTTTAGGGTAATGAGTTGTTAGACATTGTTGGGAAAATTACCATTTAACCCTTTCAGCACAGGATGTGGTGGGCTCTGATGTTCTGCAGTGAATTGAGAAGTATTTAGAGAAAAAAAAATTTAACATGATCTATATAAGGAGTTCCTAACAAGAAACCAGTTAAGCAGGTGTTACACTGACACCAAGGACACAGCTGGTCATGGTTTCTGCCAAGGATTCTTCTCCCTGATAACAGCTGCTCCAAGTGCAGCTTCTTCCCAATCAAAGATTCCAGTTTCATTGCAAAAGACATATAGAGGCTGAAGGTAACTGCACACCACCACCCATGACTTTGTGAAACCACTTGCTAGGGCTTAATGACTTCATGGAAAAGCTATTGCTGAAAGGCATTTTCAAGCTGGAAGCCAAGCCAGTGCTAACACAACTCTCCAGACAAAATTAATATTTCCAGCAAGGAGCACTTTCAGTGTTTTGTAATACCTAGGAACATGCAGATGGGTGGGCAAAATAGAGAGGCAGAATCCAAATTCAAGAGAGAGCTTAGGCACAGCACAGTTGTCATTGCACATCTCCCTGTCATCACTGGGAAAACAGGGATGAAGTGAGGCCATTCCTTCCCTGCCTGTACAGGAGCCATGGGAAATGAACTCCTAACTCTAGAATTCAGTATTTACCTGAGATTTCTCCAGCACCAGGACAGGTGGCACTAACCCATAGTCTCTCCTTGCTCAGCTCTTGCCTGTTCTTCCCTCTGAACATCCATTTTTTCCTTTCACCATCACTGCACAAGCAGAGCCACACCACAAAGAGCCACCTGTCAGCAGGAACCCAACACACTGGCCAGAGGCAGCACTGCCCATCTCCTCTGGAATTTTCTGGCTTTATAACAATAAAGTTGAGAAAAGCACATGCTTTTTTTTTTTTTTTTGGCCTCCAATGCCAAAAAAAGCAGAATTTAAAGCATGTTTTGCTGGGAAAAATAAAAATTTATTCAGAACTCAACAGCACAAAGGCTCTGTCCCTGAAAGAGTCTGTCCCCCAACTGTGCTGTTTCTCCAAATGAGTCCTCTAAAATCAGAATAAATCTCTATCATAGTGCTGAAGCTGCAAATGGCAAAGCAGCCAATCCAAAAAAGATATCTGCTTAAATAGGACATGAGGAGAGTCAGCAGAGCTGGCAGCAGGTCTCAATTTCTGCACAGGGAAGTGGGGTATCATGTATGGTTTCCACACAAGAACTGGCTGCCCCTGGAGCATGCAAAGCTGAAAACTGTTTGGATTTCAGATGATACAGAAAGAGACTCAGATATGTGGGCTTGAGGAGGATTCAGCTGAGGACTTCACAGACACAACTCTCCTGACCCAGCCCTTCCACTGAACACAGCAGCTGCCCCCAACAAACCCAGTCAAAGCAACTGCATCTGCTCAAACCCTGGAGTGGAGTTTGCCTTTAGGAGCTTCTCACCCACCCTGGCCGTGGCAAACACAACTGCAGAGCTGTGCAGGCAGCTCTGAGCTGGCATCCACCACTTATCCAGTGTGGGGATTTGATATAAACTCCGTTTTACTTGAAAGAATAGTGAATAACCAGAGTGCACCTAATGCCACAAGATATAAAATGCTGCCAGGTGGTGTTCAGAAGCCTGATAGGCTGTTTACCAGACAGACCACAGCCTAAAAGCAGTTGTTATTGTTAATATTAATCAAATTATTTTCCAGGACCCGTCTCCCCACTCCAAATAAGAGGGCACAGTTAAAAAGCTGTAGAGCTGTTCTGTAGGAATAGTTCTAGATCCAAATATTTGTTCTACTGCAGCTCCAGGCATTCTATATTTGAGAACTTCCAGTGTCTCACTCCTGGTGCTGAATGAATGCCTGGATGGGAGGATGTGACAGAACTCTCAGCCATTCACAGCAAGATGGAAATCACTTAAAACTCAACGATGTCAAATTTTGGTGTTGCCAAAGTTAAAAATAAGGAATCCATTGTTAACAGAGCTGCAGCAGCAGGAGGGGCAGAAGTGTCTGTTAGCTATAGAGCAAGCTTCAAATTACATTTGGATTGTCTTCCTAACATGGGAATATGGGAGAGCACCAGGAGAGGGAGAACAATAGCAGCTCCAGCAGTTCATCAAATCCTGAAATGCTTTGGGTTGCAAGGGACCTCAAAGCCCACTCAGTTCCACCCCCAGCCATGGCAGGGACACCTTCCACTGTCCCAAATTGCTTCAAATCCTGTCCAACCCTGCCTTGGACACTTCCAGGGATGCAGGGGCAGCCACAGCTGCTCTGGGCACCTGTGCCAGGGCCTCAGCACCATCACAGGGAAGAATTTCTTCTGAAGTTCCAGTCCTCAGAGCAGCTCCATCTCTCTGCCCCCACCTTGGAAGCAGGCTCCTGGCAACAGCAGCCTGCCTGGTAAATGGAAATTTCAGTTGGACAGTCTTTATGGATGAAGAAAAAACTACCATTCCAAAGAGGAGGCACAATGTCACTCCATGCTTTGCCAGGTGGCAAAAGCAGAAACAAAGAAGAAAGCAGTGAGAACAAGGCAGGGGAAAACATCCTGGGAGAACCCTGAGCATCCTCCTAGCACTGCCCACTGCAGGGAGAAGCACTGAGCCTCTGAGATTGTTGCCTTCAGCCTAATGGCACCTGCCAGACACTTCCTTGGTGAGGGTTTCAAGTCATCCAACTATCTCAGTTCTGCAAATGCTCAAAATCACACCTGGAAACAATCTTAAGCTGCACAAGTACAGTTCTGGGCAAAAATAAAAGTTCTTTTGAGCCCTTCCCATAACACACAGGTCAAGTTTTGGTAAAGTTTTCTTGCCTGGGCAAGAGTTTTGCTCAGAGCACCAAACAATCAGATTAACTGAAAATGGGGACCAGTTTGATAAGTAGTTAAAAAAATTAGAAGGGAGAAGCTTGCAGCAGTGTGATAACACCAGGTCACAAGCAGCACACACAGCCCAGCTCAGCAGTGCAAGAGGGGTTTCGTGCTGGCTGTGAAAGATCTCAGAAAAAGGACATTACAGATGGCCAGAGCATGTCTGGGAGCATTGCTGGCATCTCAGCCAAGCTGCAGGAAGTCAACAGAGTCAAGGCATGACAAATCCAAACACTGAACTTCCCTCCCTCCAACATAAATTCCTCCTGAAATTCAATTTAATTTCAAGATTAATAAATGAGCTGTGGCCTGGCTTTAATCCTCAGTGGAAATATTCCACCTCCCAGTCACATTCCCCAGTGTATGTTTCTGCTCAGGATATGGTGCACAGAGAGCACAAACACATCCCACCCTAAACACCTGGAGAATTGTTGCTCTGCTCAAGGTCCCCACAATCCACCAGGCTCAGCCAGGGCTGCCAGGCCTGGGGCTTTAAGAAGGGCACTCAAGCACAGGAAGAACAGGAAATGCACGGCAATAAAGCTAAACTTGAATTCAAAAGATGCACCTTTAATTCAAATAGGAAAAAGGACAGGAGAACATTGGGAAGCTCTTCAAGCAGCCTTAGGGAGGAACAACATTACCTGAACTCTAAGGAAAACATCACCAGACCATTACAACAAATCCAGCCCCAGACAACAAGGAGGTGTCAATTTTAAGTCAACTAATGATTAGCCAGGCTGATGGAAATAGGTCAATCATTGCAAGCAGAGCACAGAAATCTGAGCAGGGCAGGCAGGGAAAGGGGAGCTCTGTGAGGGCACAGAGCAGCCAGGCAGGCACTGCTGATGACATGGAAGCTGTTCTTTCCAGAGTTTGTCAGAACATCTCCCAGGGGAACAAACGACATGCTGTCCACTGCTCTGGCGGGCACCAGGCTGCCTTTTGTACAAAAACACCCAGCACAATCCTGTGTCTGTTCCGTATGAAAAAGTTGTTTTGGTCTACACATGAACAATTCCCTTTAGACAGGCTCCATTAAAGAGTCTATCCAGAATGAAGAAAAACAAATATTTAGTTGGTTCCCTTCAGTGTTTTTGGTTATTTTGTTTAACATTATTATTTCACCACCAGAGCCAGCTGGAGTTCACAGTCAACATCCTTTGAAATTAATGTCCTTACATTGACTCTGAGCAAGGAAAGCACTTTTTAACCAATTATAGCTTTCTCTGTATCAATAAAGTCACTTATGAAGGGACTCAGTCTCCACAGATATGCTGCTCTATTTTTTTCAAATAATTTTAAATGAAAGCTGCTATAGTCTCGTAGCAGACAGGATTTTATTCAGCACTGAGTCTCCTCACACCACCTCCGACACACAGATGCCTTTTAGAGCGGCTGCCTGACAACTACAAACCCTCCTTGAAACAGCTCAGCTACCAGGAAAACTGCATCAGCACATTCAGTTCAAAGGAACGTGCCTTTGGACAAGAATCCTGCCCAGAGTAAGAAAAGTGTTTTCAGCCTATAAAAAGCCCATGTCATCATGTGATGACATCAGGTCTGTCAGCGCTGCCTCTGCCCAACCGGTGCTGCAGCAGCCTGGCGAGACAGGCAGGGGTGGTTTGGGATCAGAGGCACCCACAGCTCCTGCTCTGCAGCTGCCAGGCAGGAGCAGCACCTCCCTGACATCACCCAGCACCTCCTGGAATTGTCCTCCTGTCATGTTTGGCCAGGGTGACACCTAAAGAACCACCAGCCTTTGATGGAGATTGTGAAACTCTGCTCAGGGGAGGATGTGCTGCGCTGTTCTCTTCCATGCCTTTCTCACTGGCAAAGGAAAAATAATAAATGCAGCAGGTTCATGGAGTGACGGAGTGACTCGTGTTTAGGAGTATTTTTGATCATACTCCTTTGAAACAAGATCACCCAAACAACAATTAGATTATTGTACAGGTTACAGATGAAGTTACACAGTAACAACTCACTTTTAAGTCTGCATCAATTTTCACCCTGGAAGAATAATTGAAGTTATTAAGTGTTCTTTTCCATATTCTGTTTCTTCCCTTCTGCTGGGAGGACACGTCTGCCACATGAAAACTCCACACCTCCCGTGCTGGGGCAGTGCCAGCCCTGGGTGCAGACAGTTTTACCACTGTGGTATTCTTAGCTGTTTATTTAAACCACGCTGATGCAGGAATTCCATTGGCCCTTCCAGTTCAATTACTTTTGAATTCCCTGAACATAGGCAGCATTCCTGCAGTTCACATTAGCGCCAGAATTTTCAGGGCTACTTGTGGCTCTCCTTGGCCGGGTAGATTCAACAGCATCAAAGCAAACGCTGCTGGATCACAGCAAGGGAACAAAGTGAAGCAAAAGCCACGAGACAAATGAAGGGGGATATCAGAGTTTCTAATTAAGAGGGATATCAGAGTTTCGAGGTGAGGCAGCAGGACAAAGGAAAACTCAGAGAACACTGCAGCTGCCGGTTACATCAGTCGGCCCTGGGGCAGAACAGAAAAATGCCAACGTCAGGAAATGAGGGATAAACCCAGACATTTTCAGCAGGTGGAGGGCTGTGCACACAGGTTTTAAAGTAGTTCGACCAGACACTGTCTTAAGGTGTGCCAGGGGAGGATCGGGTCTGACATTTGGAAGGATTTCTTCACAGAAAGGATGATTAAATACTGGAATGGGCAGCCCTGGGAGGTGGTGGAGTCACCGTCCCTGGAGGTGTTTAAGGGAGGACTGAGTGGCACCGAGCGCTCTGCTCGGGGTGAGGGGTGGGGATCGCTCCAGGTTGGACTCGATGACCTCCGAGCTCTTTCGAACCTAACTGATTCCGTGACATATCCCTCCGTCTCTTTTCCCCATTTTAAAGTTGCGATTCCCAAACTTCCCCCGCTGCTCCGTGGCTATTTCCAGCCCGTGCCGGCCGCTCCTCCGCCCCGGCAGAGGCCGGAGCGCGGTGCCGAGCTCGGTGCCCGCCGCGGCCCCGGCAGAAGGAGGTCACCCTGGAGGACTCGCCGCTCCCTCCCCGCCTTTAAAAATAGCCGTGGACGGAAGGAGCTTCCCGGGGCCGGCCCTCCTCTCCCCGGCTCGCAGGGCCGCATCCCGTCGCGGGCAGCGCTGCCCCGGACGCGCCGCGGTTCGCGCTGACCTTCCCCGGGCCCGGCCCCGCCGAGCGCCCCCGGCCCCTCCGCACCTCAGCGCGGCCGCGTCCCGCGCCCGCCCCGCCCGGCCACGCTCCCCTCGCGGCGCCCCCGCCCTTGCCGCGGGGTCGCGGGGCCGCCGCGGACGGTGCGGCCCCGCAGCCCCCGCCGCCCCTCGCCGCCGCCCGGCCGCCCCTCACCTGTCCCGGCCGCCGCCGCTGTTGGTGCTGCCGGGGCCCGCGCGCCTCCTTCCCCACGCCGCCATCTTGGAGACACTCGCCTCGCAAATGTCTCCGCCGGCGGCCCGCGGGCGCGCCGCGCTGCCCGACGGAAGATGTAGTGCGTGGGGGCGGCGGCCGCCGCTGTTCGAGGTGGGGCTGAGCCCGCGGAAGGACTACAATTCCCACAGTGCCTCGCGCCGCCGCACAGCCGCGGGAGGCTCTGGGGCGTGTAGTCCCCTGGACAGGGGCGGTGGGGCCAGGCGGGCACCGGGGTGGGACCCCAGTGGGACCCCAGCACAGCCCCGTCATCAGCGGCGGAGCGGCTCCGCGGGGCTCGGCTCGGCTCGGCTCGGCTCTGCCTGGCCCGGCCCCGCTGCCCGGGATCCTCCAGCCCGTGGGAGGAGCGCGGCGGCGAGTCCCGGCCTGCCCCGCGGCCCCGCCGTAAGGAGATGCGGCTGCCCAAGGTGGGCGCCGCTCGGCATCGCCTCCTGATCCAAAAAACTCAGAGGGCTCCTGCCCTGCAGGCGATTAGGGATGGAGGATCACCTGCGCAGCACTTCCCTGGAAGGAGAGGCTGGGCGGTTTTGGGGTGAATTTCGCCCTCTTAATCAATCTCGAAAAGGGGCGGTGAATGGGGAGACTCCCCTGCTGCATCTCTGAGGAGGAATAAATCACAGAATCACTTGGGAAAGACCTCAAGGTCATCAATTCAATGTAAAGTTTAATACCAAACGCTTCTCTAGAATTGCAGTATAGGTTTGGTTCTGCCAGAGGTTTCCCAGCTCCTGTGGGTCCATCAGAAGGTTTTGTGCTTGGATGGTATCTCCAGGGTGCTTGAGCCTCTGCAGGGCTCCCTCTTGCTCCGGGCTGGATTCCTCCCAGAAGAGGAGCCTTTTTATCAGGAATTTTAAGTTTTCCTTATCAAACAGCAGCTCCTTGCTCCACACCCCCTCCTTTCTCAGAGCCCTCCTCCAGCCTGACAGCACTGCCTCTGCATCTCCCGTTCCTATAAAACCCCTCATTTTGACAGCATTATTCCCAAGTGATAAAATGTGACTGTGAGAACAAACCCCTGGCTGCCTCCACCTCCCCAGGCATCCCGAGGCTGCTCCTGCAGGGCCCGCCCCCAGCGCTGCCCTCCCAGCTGTGTTTTGGGGGGCAGCTGTTCCGGGGGAGGTGTTCCTGCATTCACAGGAACCAGGAGGTGTTTGGGAAGCGTGCCCAGCCCGGCAGAACGTGCAGCAGGGCTGGGACAGGCCGGAGCACGGACTGTGTGGAATGTGGAATGTAAACAGAGTGTGTTACCAGCAACAGCCCAGCCGCGGATCCCAAGGGGCCGTGCTGTCCCTCGGGAGCAGCAAAGCCCAGCTCCTGCTGCAGCCCAGGGGCAGCTTGGCACGCTGGATCAAATCATAACTGCTCCCCACACCAACCTTCCTGGCAATCTGAGTTATCCAAACTCAGCCTCTGCCGCCTTCTCACAGCGCTGGGAAGGGACACAAATGCCCTGCCAGGATCCTGAGTGTCCAGGCTGTGCTCCCAGCCCTGGGAGTGCTGGCTCCAGGAGGGCACTGCCTTCTGTCCCTCTGAGCACCTGCCTGCCCACCTTGTTCTGGACAAGCACAGCAACTGGATATTTAAATATTTCCATGCCCATCTCAAAGCAGTGGACACAAACACTGAGTGTCTGCTCAATTGCAGGACAACTCCCAAAGCCTGGCCTGAATCCCAAGGAGGAATGGTGAAGGTGAGCAAGTCTGGATCAGCTGGCAAAGAAGAGGAACCAGTTGTGATCCCGCTCACCCTGAGATCTGCACAGTCATCACCAGGTCAGCCAGCCCTGTGACCTCAAATAAAACACAATAATTTCACCCCTTACCTACTGATCCTTTGGAGTGGGAGCATTGACCCCCCCAGCACAGCACAGCCACTGCAGCTCAGTTAAGCCACACTTTTATTGTATTGTATTCCATGCATTATGTTTATGTTTTATAGTATGACAGAGGGAGGGGTCAAGATAAATGTTAAACATAAACAAGAGCAGAAAGGTCGTTTGTAACAGGTCCTGAGAAGGAAAGGCACATCGTAACCACCGAATCCAACAGAACGGAAACCTGGGACAGAGGAAGACAACGCTGGAGAGCGGATGAGGAAGGGGGTGTTTCAAGTTGGGGGCTGTGGAAGCAGGTCTGACAGCCACCTGCATTCCCCCACCCACCACAGGTCTGTAGTTCAAACGGGTTTGGGGAGCTCAGTATTCAACCAAACCACTTCCACGCTCCTGTTGCCCGGGGAGAGTCCAAAATCCCAAACTCCTCCAGGCTTAATAAGCACCAAGGGGCAGCACAGGACTCAAAGCTCCTTTCTGCAGAGACCAGCTGGGCAAAGGCAGCTGGTGGGGAGGCAGGGAAGGGTCACCCAGCACCGAGGGACCCCCAGGCAGGTCCCACCCAGCCATGCAGGGTCACAGGAGCACCGTGGGCTCATCGCTGGTGAGCTGCGGGTATTGCTATTCACTGGCATCCAGGAGGAGGGACAGAGCAGGGACACAGCAGAGAAAGGGTTGGCACAGCCACTGGCACAGGTCCCTGCCAGCTCAGACACCAGGGGGTTGTAGCACCTCGAAGGAAGCAGCAGCAGAACCGGGAGCTGTGCTGAGTTAAGGCAGCGATCGCTGCGGGATCCAGCGCCAGGAAGCTCCAGGTTCCTGCCAGAGCAGCACAGGGGCTCCAGAGCCAGGCTGGGCGTGGGGCTCTGCCCACAGAGTGAGCACAGCACACCCTGCAGTGAGCTGACACATCAGGGGGCTGCTGGAGACTGCTCACAGTGGGAATGAGCACTAAAGCAGGACAGAGCTCAAGCATCGCACCCAGCCCTGCTGTGGCACAGACACAAGTGCCTGATCTTGGCTTCCAGGGGGCAAAACAGCTCAGCTTCACCTTGGAATCAAGAGAAGGGATGGTTCAGCCATCACAGCAGCACCAGAGCCAGCCTTGCTCCTGTAACTAAGTGTGTTGTGCATGTTAAAGAAGGAACATTTAGCAGCCCACATTTCTTCTTGAGCCCCTTTAGTTTGTTACCTGCCACCCTTTCCCAGTCCCTCAAAGCCACCCTAAAGGTCACAGCCTGGGTGAAATAAGCACAGGAGGGCAGAAATGAAGCAGAGGCAGGGCTGAGCTTGAAGCCTTTCCTGAGCAGCACAGGGCAGAGGTGGCTCTGCCCCCGGCACAGGTGGTGGGCACGGGCAGGGGTCTCAGAGCCTGCAGTGTGCAGGGCAGGGATGGAGGTTGGGAGTTCTGGAAGCCTGAGAGGGCTGTGCTGTGCTGTGCTGGTGATGGGCAGCCCAAAAGCACGGGCAGGCAGCAAGGGTTCCCCTCGTGCTGGTGGCCAGGGACAGCTCAGGCTGAAATCCTGGCACAGGGTCTCCATCTCTGGCCACCCCAACCAGGAGAGAAGTTTGTAGGAGTTTTTGCCTTTGCTGCCATGGATTTTGTGCTGGGCTCTGGGAAAGGGCTGAGCTGCCTCTCACCTGGGGCTTCAGTCACTCTGTGGCACAGATTGTAAACTTTAGTCCCTGCTGAGCAAAGCAAGGCCTGGGTTTGGTCTCCAGGTGAGAGGTTCTACATGTCCTGCATGGCTGCAGCCCCAGTGGCTGCTCAGGGCTGGGGGTGTTGAAAACATCTCTCCCTCAGCACAGCCCTGCCTTGGGACACTACAGAATCCTGAGAGCTCAGTGTGAGATGCTCTGAGGTGTAGCTCAGGCCCTGGAGAACACAGGCAAGGCAGGACAGGCAGCAAGCTGGGACCTGGCAGTGCCCTGCCATCATGGTGTCACCTCCACATCTGAGGGTGGCAATGCTGGGTTGTGCTACAGAATCATCATCCGCTGAGGTAAGAGCACGAAATGAGGGTGTTCCTGCTGCTGGCCAAGGTCCCCACGATGCTGCCAGTGCCCTGAGCTTGGAGCTGTGAGGAGGCCCTGAGCAGCCAGGTAATGCCAGGAGCCAGGGCTGCTTCCCAAAGGCTGTAAGGAGGAGCCATTGGGATCCATGGGGATGCAGGCACCTCCAGCACTGAACCCTGCAGATGGGCCAGGAGCAGGTCCTGGAGGCCTCACCCTGCTGCTCTCAGGATGCCCTGGTGGGGCTGATCTGGGGCACTGACAGGGATGCAGAGATGGAGGAGAGGGAGATGAGGGGAGCCTTCCTCTTCAGCTGCAGGAAACCACCCTGGTGCCCTGGGATGTCCCTCAGTGCTCAGGCCAAGGCTGGCTGTGGGGCTGGTCTCTTGTCCTGAGCAGGCTGTGTCCACACCAAGGGCAGGGAGACAGGAATAACAGTCCATGACCCTCTGGGATGCCACTTCAGGGTTGTGTACACAAGCTGGGCAAGAGCTGGCATCTCCAGGGAGCAGCATCTGCAACTCAGCCACGTTTCTTCCTCTGCACAGCCTCTGCCACAGCCTCTGCAGTCCAAGTCCACTCCTCACACGGCTCTTGTCTCCAGGCTCGAGGGTGTCACCATCCCAGTGTCTCCACAGCCAGGGCAGCAAAGCCCCTGAGGTGCCACCATGGTCCACACGTTCTGGTATGTACTGCAGGTGGCCTTGGACACGGCCTGGTGCCCACCAGGTGCTGCAGGGGATGAGCCTGACACAGGGCTGGGGCTCCTCCAGCACCTCCCTCTGTCCCACAAAGCTGAACCCACAGCATCTCCCCAGCTGCCAGGAGCAAAGGGGGGCTGGTACCCTATGAGCAGCCCTAACCAACATCCCCCAGCAAGTTCAGAGCTGTTGCCAAGCAGGGGGCAGAGGATGAGGTGCAGAACAAGTCATGCCCTGGCCTTGTGATGGAGTTTGGTGGAAAATTCACCCTCTTCTATCCCCTGGCTTGGGAAAAGCACTGGTGGGCACCCTGTGTGCCCAGAGCAGCCTGGCCCAGGGGCTGTGGCCATGCTCACACGTGGGCACAGAGGAGGAGGAGGAGGTGCCCACTCTCACACACCGCACGGACACGCTAAAAAACCGGGAAATGCCAGTGTGGGAAGGGGGTTCCTGAGACTGCAGAGAAGCCAAGGCCGCCTTGAACAGTCAGGGCCAGGTGTGCTGGTGAGGGAGCAGTCCTGCCTTAAGGCTGCAAATGTTCCAGGTACTGCGGCAGAGGGTTCTCCTTGACGTATTTCTGAATGTACCAGCACGTCAGGTGCGCCTTCAGGTCCTCCTCCACCACAAAGTCCAGGGCTGCCTGCAAGCAGTGCAGATCACATGGGTCACAACCAACACCCCCAGCCTCAGGGGAGTCCTGCACCCCTCACCCAGATGGGGGAAGCAGCAGGAGTCCCTCAGGTACCCCTGTGCCCGAGGGGAGAGCACAGCTGTCCTGCCACCAGGAGCCCCCAGTTTAACCCTCAGCACATCCAGCCCCGTGGATGCTGTGCTGCAGGTGACACAGCCCATCCTGTGAAGGCCACCTTCATTATCTCTTTGTCCCCATTTACAGGGCCAGGGAGCAGCTGGACCCCAAAGCAGCACCCCAGTGTTGTGCTCAGGGCTCCCCAGCTCTCCCTCACAGCCCAAGCAGGCAGAGGGCTCACCAGGGTAGTGAAGGTTTGAGAGGAGGGGTCCAGCTCGAGCTGAGCTGAGCCATCAGCCCCTGCACAAGGGATTTCTGCTGAGAGGGGGAATGGGCTGAACCTGGGGGAGTGCCTGGATTTGCTGACACTTACCCAGCTCCCCTTGCCACAAAACCCAGGGATGTCTGACCCCACATTTCCATCTGCCCCTCCAGCCACCCCATCTCCCATCAGAGCAGGATTCCCACAGGGAACACACACAGTTCCAACAGGACAGGGCCTGCTTCAGCCAGGATCTTTACCCACAGCTGGCATGGCAGCAGGATAGGCACCGTGCCCTTCTGGGGGGCTGGGGCTGTACCTTTGCCAGGTGCTTGGCAATTCCTCTCCCTCGATAGGCGTCGGGCACCTCCGTGTGCTGCAGGTCCACGATGCGCTTCCCCACGTACTCGTAGAGCAGCACGGCCTTGTCGTGGCAACCTGGGGGTGGCACAGAGGGGACAGGGCTGGGGGGCCACCCAGGATTGAGGGTTGGGGTGTCCCCCAGAGAGCCCTCAGCAGGGCATGGGACAGAGGGGTGGGAGTTGGGATGTCTCTGGAGAACCCACAACACAGAATGGGACAGAGGATTGAGGGTTGGGGTGTCCCCAGAGAGCCCAAAGCAGGGAATGGGAGAGAGAGATGAGAGTTGGGATGTCACCAGAAAGCTCACAGTAGGGAATGGGACAGAGGGGTAAGGGTTGGGATGTCCCTGGAGAACCCACAGCATGTGATGGGACAGAGGGCTCAGGGTTGGGGTGTCCCCAGAGAACCCACAGTAGGGGATGGGACAGATGGGTGAGAGTTGGGGTGTCCCCAGAGAACCCACAGCAGGGAATAGGACAGAGGATTGAGGGTTGGGATGTCCATAGAGAACCCACAGCACAGAATGGGACAGAGGATTGAGATGTCCCCAGAGTCCTCAGCAGGGAATGGGACAAAGGATTGAGAGTTGGGATGTCCCCAGCAGGACAGGCAGTTTTGGGACTGCTACATCACCCCTCGTGCCATGGGCTTTGCTTTCAGTGACACCTGGATGTCTTCGCTGGTCCCCCCAAGGTGTGAGCAGGGCCTTTCCATGCCCCAGGAGCAGGAGCAGGTTTCTGACCCAGCTCTGAATCAGTGATGCCAGCACAACATGCTTAGGGTGGGAAAGCAGCTGTGGGGAGGGAGGAGATGTGTTGATGGTGGGGGAGAGTAAAAAGAAGAGGGAGAAAACCGACAGAACCCAACAAAGCTGACCCAGGAGTATGGTGGACGGTTCAGAACAGCCAATTAATTTCTCCTCCAGCATAGGGTTTTGTTTTTGGTTGTGGCACATAAAACAGGACAAGGTTCCTTGGTCTGGTGTTGCAGCATTGTCTAGACACGTTTTGGGAAAGATGAATCCCACAAACACACAGGAAAGCACACACAGGTGTGCAAGGGGGGCTGTGCACACAAATTTACATGTACACACACAGAGGCTTCCTGTTTCAACACCCTGACCTTTCTCACAGCAGCTCAGTTACAGGAAAAAAGAAGTTTCAGCTCATGTATAAATCAGAGGAGTCAGAACAACCCTCTGGTTTCATCCACAGAAACTGAGCCTTCAGTGCAAAAGGAAATGTTTCATTTCTAGAGAGTTTCTGTGCTTAAAAGTGAGTTTCAGAAATGCAAGATCTCAATCAAAGAGACAAGTTTGATTAAAATAATGGGAACTTTTCCTTCTCTCTGATGTTTTTTTAAGGCTGAAGGGCTGCAAAGTTCACCTGCATTCAGGATCTGCTTTAGCTGAGCTCAGTACTCTCCATTTCACTGCACTTCAGCTGACAACTCCAGCCCAGCTTGCTTCACCCCTGTATTCAAGAGAAACTAGAAAGGAGCCCATTGGAATTTTGTGTTTCCAGAGAAGCAGCTCAAGCTTTTATTGCTGCTCCTTTTATGCAGACACTCAATTCTCCTGCACTGGATGGCAACCTTCACATTTCCAGCCCGAGTTTATTCCTGCTGCTTTCTGCCCACTCCTTCTTGTGCCAACATTGTTCTTGGGTGGACATAAATAATTTCCCTCCCTGCCATTCCCCCAAGTATTTCTAGGCTTCAGTCCTGCCCCTCTCAGCTCTGGCTCACCAAAAAGCTTTGAGTTTCCCCCAGAGAGAAAAGAGGGAGCACTGCAGTGTTTCTCCATGTGGATGCTGGCACCCCAAAAAAGCCAAGGGGGCAGGTGAAGCCCTTCCTGCAGCACAGACCTGCCCAGGCTGGGGCACGAGGTGCCCTCGCCCTCCCAGAGCATTTGGTGGCAGCTCTCAGGGGTGGCAAGGGCAGAGTTGGCAGCACCAAAGGCTGTAAAATGATCTTATAGCAGCAGCTTTCACTCGTTCCAGCCCTTCCACCCCACTCTCCTCCCAGGCTAAAACTTTCCATAGCCTCTGCCTGAAGCTTTGGGGAGTTTAAAACTAAATTGACCACAGAATAAAAGATCTTTTTTCTTTAAATACACTTTAAAAATATATTATCTGTTTAGAAGTATCAGAGACACAAATGCATTTTAAAGCAGGATGATCTCAGACATGTCCTGGACAGGCTTTTCCTGGATATTCCCTGGACCACAGCAGCACCCAGCCAGGACAGGAGCTGCAGAGTGCCACCAGATGAACACACACACAGAGGATTTTACAACCAGCCTGATTTTACAACAGTCAGTGCTGCTGGAAACTGAGCCCAGTTCAGAAAAACATCCCAGCTCAGCCAAGTGCACGAGCACATCCACACACCTCAGTGGCACAGCACCCAAAACCAAGGACATTTGTGCCTCAGGGTGTGATGTGGGCCCTGCAGGTCCCAGCCATGGCTTGGAAAGAGCCAACCCTGCTGCTGGGTGCTGCCCTGGCCATGGGGGCAGCTCCCAGAGCAGCTGGGGGGGCTGGAGCAGCGCTGACCCTTCCAGCCCCAGCTTGGGGCACAAGCAGAACCCCCCCAGAACACGGCACAGGAGACACCTCCTGCCAGCCTGTGCCACCCCTGGGCTCTGGGACAGGGGTTTATCAGCCTGCACAGACACAGCTGGGCACACAGAGCCTGCCCTGCAGTCTGACTCACTGACTCTGAGGAAGTGGAGCTGATGCAAATCAGCAGAGCCAGAGAGGAGCAGATGGCAGCAATGGCAGCACTGCTGGTGCCCTGCTCGTCCCCTCACAGGGGGCACAGGGAAGGGGGAGCTTTTCTGGGAGCTGGGCAAGGGAGCAGCTCTAACCTCGCTCCCCATGGAGGGTTTGCTCCAGCAGGAGCAGTGGTGGCTCAGGGGCCTGGGGAGCAGCACAGAGCCCAGTCCCAGCCCAGCCCAGCTGAGGCAGGGACAGCTCAGGCATCTGGCAGGACACAGACCCCCCAGCCCAGCCCTCACTGCCCCCTCTCCTGGCACACACAAAGCACCCAGCAAGGTGAGGCTGCAGCACTGCAGGACTGTCCCTTGTCCCTGTTCCCTGCACCAGCCCCAGCCCATGACACCCCTTGGTGTGCCCAGGACCTGGGCAGGGCCCTGGCTGCTGCCTGCAAGGCCAAGTCCTGTGCCCCAGCCCCCTTTGGACACTGCTCAAAGCCATTCCCTGGGGCAGGGGGACAGAACACATGCCAGCCCCATCTCCCAGGAGCAGGAGGCAGCTCAGGTCTGCTGCTGCTGAGCCAAACAGTGGGGGAAAAAAAAAAAAAAAGCAAAGCTGCGTGTGGGGTGGGCTGAGAGGACAAGAAGTGCTGAGGAGCTCGTGCATCCCAGGCTGGAGCTCTGCCTGCCATGGGCTGGCCTCACTCCCCAGGGAGCTACTGGCACGTTACTAGGGAGAGAAAACACAACAGAGCACAACAGCCAGAGAGGAGACAGCACAGGGCTCTGGAGGGGCCTCCCTGCAGGAGGGGCAGCAGGGGGGGCTGGTTTGGAGCAGTTTCCTGTTTAGGAGCTCTCTGGAGCTGCCTGTGGCACGGGAGGAGTGGGGATGTCTTTGATGCAGGGCCTGGTGACATATCTCCTGGTCCCTGCTGCAAACTCAGCACCTTCCCCCCTCCTGAGAGCATCTGCCCCATCAGGCAGGAAAGCTCCAAGCTTTCCAAGCATGACCTGCTCCGGTTCTCCCAATAAACCTGAGCCTGGGCTGCTGGACAAGGAGCTCCTGAGACTCAGAGCAGCAGTGGGCAGAGCAGGAGCTCCCAGCCAAAATCCTGCCCTGGTGCAGCTGGGGAGGAGTGGGAGGCTTGGGAAGGGAGTGTGCTGCAGCCAGCAGAAGTGTTGGAGCTGCAATGTGTGAGAAGGCCAAGCATCCCTGAGGAACTGGAGCTGCTCCATGCCCGTGGTGAGCCTGATGGGTGTGATGGGCACCAAAGAGTGACAGCAGCTGCTGCTAAAAGCTCTTCCCCTGCCCCAAACATCTGTGCCAGCAGCTGGACCAACCAGCCAACTGCTTTGGCATGGGGGGGTCCCTTTGGGTTTCTTGTTTTGAGCTGAAATTTCATCTCAGACCCAAAGAAATACCCAACCATTCCTGACAAAACCAGCCTATATGATTCCCATGGAAGCTTTTAGCTCTGACAAATTGATGTTTTCCAAGAGAGTCTCTGCTCAGGGAGGGTTCTGGCTGGCTCAGGCTGTTAGTCACATCCTAACCCATTACAAATCCAGTTGGGCGTCTCTCTGCCCTCCTCTCGAGGGATAACAAGGCTCAGTGAGGTCTGCTTATAATCAGCTTTACTTTCAGCTTCTAAATGCTCCTTCATTTGGGATGCAGGGAAAAGGGAACGTGTTCAAGTGCAGCAGCTGTTCCTAAAGAGATTTAGCAGCTACTGCAGCAATGACAGAGGGGAGGAAGCAGCAGAGAAAGGAAAGACAGGGCAAGCCCCAAAAAACTGAAAAAACTCGAGTGCAATTCATCTTCCTTGTGCACAAGGAGGAAGTCCTGACAAGGTCACACAGGGGCACAGAGGCAAACACAGGATGATGCTGAAAATGAACACTTTCACAACCAGCTCACAGCTTTCACTGCCTCAGCCTCCTGCTCCAGGGATTTCCAGAAATTCATCACCATGCAAAGTTTTCTACCCAGCATCACACCACCGCAAACCACCAGCTGTCAAAGTCTGGCTGCTTGGTCCACGTGCCCGGCACATCCATGTTTTCCCAGGGCATCATCCACACTTGACATTTAGCAGAAATGACGACATCACAGCAAAGTTGACCCTGGAGCCCACAAACTGCTGCTCATCTCTTAGTGACACGGGACAAGAGTGCTCTCTGAGGGACATGGAAGTCACTTTGATGCCCAAATCTGTGTCTGACCCATTTCTTGTCATTCCCTGCTTGCTGCAGGGAAAACCTCCCGGGGCATTCCACACCAGTGATGCTCCTCATGCCAGGAGGGACAAAGAGCAGTGCAGGAAATAAACACCCAGCCACGCACTCCCACAGAGATGGTATCTCCTGAGCAGCTTCCAGGGCTTGGCTGCCACCAGCAAGGGCCTAACAAGGAGGAGGAGAGGTGGGTCACTCACTGCACGTGGATGTTAGTCAGCACAGCAGGACACTGCTCAGCCTGGCGTGGCTGAACTCACACAAAAGGGCTCAGACTCCCTGAACTCCCAGAGAAAACACAACCTTGGTCATGGGGATTCACCTGGGTGAGGCCATGGCCACACTGGATGGGGCTTGGAGCAACCTGGTCCCTGTCTGGACACACACAAGGTGTCCCTGATGAGCTTTGGGATCCTCCCAGCCCAAACCACTCCGGGATTCTGTGACTCCAGGACCCTCTCCTGAGTCAGGAGGTTCTGTGCTGATTCACACACGACTCCCACAGCTGAATCTCTCCCTCTCAAAGTTCACCCTCCCCAGTCACGACTCATCCCTGCTCAGCCACCAAACGCTGCTGGGCCCGTGGTGTGGCTGCCAGAGCTTTTATCCAGAAAACCACAATAAAAGATTATGTCTCCCTAATAATTGTTGACCCTTGGCTGTCCCCTCTATTTCCTGCACACACCAACTTCACTGGCAGGGACAATGCTCTGCTGGTGGCAGTGGGGACCCGGCACCCGGGATCTTGTTTGATCTCAGGCTGAAATGAGCAGTTGGTGAAATTGTTTTCTCCGCACCCGTCTCCTCCTTCCGAGCTCCACCACTGCCGAGCTCCAGCCTTGCCCTTTGTAATTAGTGGTTGAAATGAAAATGGGGTGGGGGGGGAGGAAGAAAAGTCTAAAATAACATCTGGACTATTCTTGTTGTTCTATCGACGAAGCCTCCTGCATTCCCTATGATTTCTGAACTACACATTTTATTTTTATTTTTTTTTTAAAGGCAGCTACCCTGCAATTTCTGTATCAAGAGTAGTTCTATACCCAGAGTAGCTCTCAGCATAACAAATGGATGGGGAAGAGATGCTGGGATGGTTGAATATCTGTAATTAACCACCAAAGTGAAGGCTGGGAAAGAATCAGTGCACCACAGAGAAATGTCAGTGGCACCTACTTTTTGTTCCTTTGTTCACTCCACCCAATATGTGACAGAGCTTTTTGGGGGTCACTGTGTCACCAGAGCGCCACAGGTGGCTGTGGCAGCTTGGATCCGTGTCGTTGCTCCTACAGAACCGTGGCACCGACCCTGCTGGAGCTCTCGAGGGGTTTCCCTTAAGGAATGTCCCCAGAGCTGGCACCGCCACATCCCCAAAGGCACCTGCTCCGGGGGGAACAAGGCAGTGCCCCCAACCTGCCCGTGCCACCATCGGGCTCCACAGCCCGGCCCAGCCGGGGGAGCCGAGCGATGCCCACATCTCCCCTGGGAGAAGGTTTTGGGGTGCAGGAAGGGTGGGGGGCACTGTGGGGGTCACACCGCGGCAGGGCGCAGAGTACGGGGAAAGCGCAGCGGGACACAGGGCACGGGAGGAGGAGGGAGCGGGGGAAATAGGTGAGAACCGGAAAAAGGGGAGGAACAACAAGAAAAAAGGGGGGGAGGAACGGGGAAGGAAAAGGGGGGAGAGACGGGAGGGGGGCGAAGGGGGGGCACAGCGAGAGCTGAAAAGGACCGGGAATCTGGGTCTCAGCGAGGCGGAACCGCGGGCGGAGGGCAGCAGGTAACGTCCCGGGAGCCCCGAGCGCCTTCCCTTACCGTTGAGCCGCACGGTGAACTGCCGCCGCTTGCGATCGTGCTCCACCTGGATGGGGCAGCCCTGCTCCAGGAGGCCGAGCGGCGCCGAGTGCGCCATGGCGGCCCGGTGCCGGTGTCGGTGCCGCTGTCGGTTCCGGTCTCGGTGCCGGTGCCGCTGTCGGTGCCGGAGCGGAGGCGCGGGCGGGCCCGGCGCGGCCCCGGCCGCAGGAAGCCCCAGCTGTGCGGCACGTGCCCGCCCCGCAGCCAATGGCCGCGCCGCGCTTTTGTTTTGGTACGGCCGCGCGGCCCTTAAAGGGGCAACGCCGCCACCGCCGTGGGGACCGCAGCCAGCGCCCGGCGCCCCCGCGCGGGCGGGCACCGCCACCAGCGGCCGCCAGAACAGCACGGGCTCTGTACTGGGTCTGTGCTGGTTCTGTACTGGTCCGGCACTGGTGCTGTACTGGTCCGGCACGGGTTCTGTGCTAGTTCTGTACTGGTCCGGCACGGGTTCTGTACTGGTTCTGTGCTGGTCCGGCACTGGTGCTGTACTGGTTCTGTACTGGTCCGGTACTGGTTCCGTACTGGTTCTGCACTGGTCTTGCTCGGGATCTGTACTGGTCTCACACTGGTTCTGCACTGCTTCTGTACTGGTCTGGCACTGATCACGCACTGGTTCTGTACTGGTCTTGCTCGGGATCTATACTGGTCCCGCACTGGTTCTGTGCTAGTTCCGCACGGGTTCTGTACCGGTTTTGTACCGGTCCCACGCGGGTTCTGTACTGGTTCTGCTCAGGTTCTGTACCGGTCCTGCACTGGTCCTGCACAGGTTCAGTAGTGGTTCTGCACTGCTTCTGTACTGGCCTGGCACTGGTTTTTACTGGTCCTTTACTGGCCCTGCACCGGTTTTCTGCTCTGGGTGGCCGGGGCTGTGCTGGGGCTGCCCGCGGTGCCGGCTGCTCTGCGGCGGGGCCCGGGCTGCTGCCCTGTGCCCTCCCTGTGCCCTGTGCTCTGCCCTGCCTGTGCCCGGCTCTGCTGGGCTGTGGGGGGAAGCCCCAGGCCATGGCTCCTGCGTGATGCTGTCCCAGGTTACTCCAAGTCCATCCAACCTGGCCTTGGACACTTCCAGGACCTGTGCCAGGTCCTCCCCACCCTCACAGGGGAGAATTCCTTCCCAATATCCCATCCATCCCTGCTCTCTGGCAGTGGAAAGCCATTCCCTGTGTCCTGTCCCTCCATCCCTTGTCCCCAGTCCCTCTCCAGCTCTCCTGGAGCCCCTTCAGGCCCTGGAAGGGGCTCTGAGCTCTCTCTGGAGCCTTTCCTTGTCCAAGCTGAGCACCTCTGGCTCTCCCAGAGCAGAGGTGCTCCATCATGTATCACACACACATCACATATCACATCTGTGTCCCCAGAGCTCTCAGTGACAGGAGCTGAGGGTGCCGGAGGTGGCTGTGCTGGCAGCTGCAACAGGAAAAGCAGCAACACCTAAATTCACAATAAAGAACAGTTCACCGGCAGCTTCTCTGCACCTGAGCACCATCTCATGTAGCTTGGCCTTTGTTCACTCATCCCTTCTGCTCCTGCTGCCCTGTGGGAAAGGGATTTGTAAAGAATTCAAGGCCATAGAATAGAAGGCCATAGTGGGGAAAAAAATACAAGTGATTTGTGGTAAAAGTAATAGCAGCATTGTGTGGCAAAAGCTAACAGGCTGAAAAACATTTATAAAGTATTGTAACCAATAAATCAGTTAGCTTCTGATAGGATGGTGTTGAGTTTTACATCTCTTGTGCCTCAGCACTCATCGAGACTGAAAACAGAATAAAATTTTTTCAAACACCTCTCAGTTGCCCCATGTCTGGGTCAGGAAAAAAATATTATCCAACACCTGAGCACAGGCTCAGCTCAGAGCTGCATGGATCAGCTCAAACCCTGCTGCTGATTCCAAGATCAGCAAGATGTTCTATCCAAGATGTGGATAAATGTCAGAGAGGGCCCCTCAGCTTGCCCAGCCCTGCAGTGACACCCACAGCTCTTGCATCAGCTGATGACCTGTGGCTGGGCTGCAGAGCCATGACTTTTTTTTGGAAAGACTCCTCCTTGTCTGTGTTGAAAGACTTGAAAGGTGGTGAATCTGCGACGTCTCTGGGGAAGGTAATTGCTCTCCCCATTAAAAACCTGTAATTTATTTTCCATTTGAACTCTTCCACCTTCAGTGTGCAGCTGGACCTGGTGCCTTTGGTGCTGGATCATGGCTCTGCCTGAGGCACCCGTGCAGCCACAGATCCCAACCCTCCAGCTCCTTCCCTCTGGCAGTGATTCCCTTCCACCTCCTGGCTTTCAGGAGGTTTTTCCAGCCCTCAAATTTATCCCAAATGCTCTGCAAAGCTGAGGGCTGGCTGTGGCAGAGCAGCTGTGATCTCACTGGTGCTGTCAGCAGTTGCCACCCCTCCAACCCCTCCTTTGCATCTTTACGGACCACGCTAAGAATTCCAGCCAGAAAGTGGCACTTGGAATCTTCTTTTTTTTGCTTTTTTGACTGCATCTCTCACATCCTTCGCAGCTCGGGTGGCTGTGGGAGCATCCTTACCCTGGGATGTGCCACGTTTAGGAGGGATTGATTCCTCAGTGACTCAGAGGAATTACCCACAGAGTCACGGAGTGCCCTGAGCTGTGAGGGACACCCAGGGGTCACCCAGCCCCACTCCAGGCCCCAAACCCACACTGTGCCTGCCTGGGAGCGTTTTCCAAACCCTGCTGGAGCTGTGGCAGCCTTGAGGCTGTGCCCATGCCCTGAGGAGCCTGGGCAGTGCCCGAACACCCTCTGGGGGAAGAACTTTTCCCTCATACCCAACCCGACCCTCCCTGGGCCAGCTCCAGCCGCTCTCCTGACTCCCCGTCCATTTCACCGCTGCCACCTGTGCGGGACCCATGGGAGATGTGGCGAGCTGGCCATCCTTAGCTGGCAGCTGAGGTGCTGGGTCGAGGAGCAGCACAGGACGGGGATGCTCCACGCTCCAACGCCGCGGCGAAGCCACGCCAGCGAGGGGACACCGAGGCCACCTCTCCTGAGGGGCACCAGCGCCCGCCCGCATCACTTCACCCTCTCAGCCGCGCCCAAGAACCGCAAAGCCGTTTCCGCGCGGGGGCCTTAGCCCCGCCTCCTCACGGCGCTGGCCAATGGCGGCGCGGGGGCGGGCCCGGCGGGGCGGCTGCCGGCGGGGCCGCGGCGGGCGGGACTCGCGGGCTCCGCTCGGGCCGGGCCCGCCGGGCTCGCACAGCGCCATGTCCCTGCCCAGAGGTACGAGCGGGCTGGGAGGGCCGGGGGGGAACCGCGGGGCCGGGGATGGTGCCAACCCGCCGGGCGTGGGCTCCCCGCCGCTTCCTCAGCGCGGGCCCCGCTGGTTCCGCAGCCCGGCGGCGCCGCTGCGGCCGGAGCCGCGATGCGCGGGGCTGCGGGCGGGGATGCGCGGAGGGACCGCGGGGGACGGGGCGAGGCTGCGTTTGGCGTGGGGACAGCGACAAAAACAGGCGGGTTTGGTTTTCCCTGCCTTGAGCTTCCGCTCCTTGGGAATCCTGCGCTGGGAGCCCTCGCCGTGGCTCAGCCCGGTGGGAAGGACCGGGCTGGGGTTCCGGGCGTGGGCCGTGTCGCCTCGTGTCGGTGTCGGGGCAGGGCCGGGAGCCGATGCCGGCGTGTGCCGGGGGTGCCTCGCTGCTTTCCCGCGGTCCCGGCCGCGGAACGTGACCGTGTGTCACCGGGGTTATTGTGGAGCACGGCCGTGACTCAGGTGTCCCCAGCGGCAGGTGAGCACCGGCCGGCAGGTATCGGCCTGGGAGGGATGGATGGATGGATGGATGGATGGATGGATGGATGGATGGATGGGGACAGTGGCTCTGCCGGTGTCCCGGTGCTCCCCGGAGCCCCATCCTCACACCGGGCGGAGCAGGGAGCGCACGGAGTGCGCATTCGAGTGCTGCCGCCCCTCGAATCAGCGGAATAAAATCCGAGGGTTTTTCCCTGATGCTCTGGAAACTCGAAGTCAGGAGCCATGTGAGCAGATGAACGCGCCTCCCGTGACTTTTTTTTCTTTTCCAAACCCCCCCGGTTTTAAACGCTCCGTGTCTTATCCGGAGGGAATGTGGACCTGAGTTTCCTGTTTGCTGTGTAAGCAGGGGGTGAATCAGCAGCGATTTTCGGAGCTGCTGAGTGGAGCTGCTGACTCACAGGTAGGAGCACATGCCTCCAGCCATCCAGCCTTGGAAGGGATCACCCAGGCTTCTTAAAAGGCTGGGACACCTGAGCCCACACCTTTCCTGGGCTGCTGTGCCGGACCGGCGGATGTGTGCATGGAGGGACGAGGTGAGCCTGGCCCAGGGACCACTTGTTCTCCATGGGAGATGATGCTCGAGCTGAACCTGGAGGATTTTGGGGGAAGCAGCAAGAGGTGATGCTTGGAGGAGCACCTGGGAGCGCGGTGCTGTCCTCAGAGGAGGTTTGGAGCTGCTCTGTGTGTGCAGGTTTCTGTTGGTTTTGATAAACTGGTTCATTCATGCAGTTAAGCTAATGTCCTGTGATGGAGGTATCACACATGTGCTGAGAGCTCTGAGTCCCTGAGTGACCTGAGCTCCTTTGCTTCCATCAGGGCAGCAGCAGCAGCACGAGGCTGGATCCTGAGCGTGTGGCACACATCTGCCTCCTCTCACCCTGCCTCTCCTTGCCTGGCACCTGCCTCCCAGGGGGTTTTTCCAGGGATGCTCACAGGTCTGGCTGTGTGCACCTGCTGCTCGTGGCAGCTGCTTCCCTCTCTTTCTGAATTTAAGCTGAACTTCCCTGGTTTTCCTCAGGGAATTTCAGTGAACAATCTCAGTTTCCTTTGCTGGTTCTCCTTGGGTTTGTGTTGCTCAGGTTTGTAAACAGAGGCCGCTGTGTTGAGGCTCTTGGTTGGCTCTTTCTGTGACAGATGCCTTCCAAAACTCACCTGCCATCACTTTGGCTTAGTCACAGGGCTGTCTCCTGCCTCGGGAGGTTTTTGGGACACGTGGCTGGCCGTGACACTGGTGATAGGAATGGTGCTGTGCCGGGGCTTTGCTCTGCACTAAACATAGCTTGGGAGATAAACACCTTCTGGGGATTTTGTGGAGCTTAGGGAGGACTTTGGCTTTCTTTCTTCCTCTTCCCATTGCTCCTGTCTGCTTGATCCAAGTTATCTCGCA